AAATTGAAGGAGATAAAATATTACAAAATTCGAATCAAAGTGGTTGAACGAATTAACTAAAGAATTATCATTCAAACATAACTAGCGCTCTTGGTCTCTATCTCCCGGTCCGCGTTGGCTCTTCTACCAAAATTCATTCCCTCCCCAGATTAGCCAAAAAATCACCCCATCCTTTTTACGAACAGCGATATCAAAAGACAGAGAGAGGGATAAAGTATGCTGCAATCAACGGATGTGTTATCAATTCCGTCGCCTAGGTATAATTTTTTTTATATAAGCGTTGAACCCGTACATACAAAAATAGTAACTTAATAACACAAGTAAATTAATAGGGTACATAACCAAACCCCGTGCTATACGTAAAGAGGAGACTTACAAAGGGAACTTATTCTCCTATAGTATTGTGAGGGGGGCTTTATATTTGGCCAATGGTTTTGGCAAGACCCAATCTTTTTAAACGACCCAAAGGCCTGGCGGGGCGTAATCGTCTCGCGTGCATATTGCGTTGTCTTGTGAGTCTGTCTCTTGCACAGTATGCAGATTCAGGTCTTGATGTACCTGGATGCTTTTCTAGTTTGATTTTGCCGCTATTCCCCAGATCTGCACACTGTAAAGCCATATTGGGGCTTTACAATTAACGTAGACTGCTCTTTTGGCGCTCAGTGACATGATGCTTTTTCTAAGAATCAGCCACCACAATTGCTGAATCCTTTGGCCACACTTTTTGGCCGTAGCTTTCAAATGGGCGCTAAAAGTTAGACGCTTGTCTATTGTAAAGCCGAAATATCTTGCCTGCTTCGGTTGGTCCAGGGTTACCTTAGATAGGGAATATAGGAGACTTATTGGTCGATACGACTCAGGGTCCTCTTCCTACGTATAATTAAGTAATAAAACATATTTTATACTCGTGCGAAGATACAGAAATCATAAGGTCATATAGATACTGACCGAGTACCGGGTTTAAAAGTAGAGCCGCAGCCCTTGTATGCAGGGTTACGCCGCCACCAGGACAATGTCTGATAACACTACTCGACAAAATCGAACTTTTTTTTTCCTCAAGGATCCAAACCGACTTTTTCTGATAGATAAGGAGATTTAAAATTTTTTAAAGAATTATGGTTTTTTTTCTATGGCAGAACTTTTTTTTTAAAAATTTTTGAAGTCTGGTATTTTTGTTTAAGCTTTTTTCAGAGGTATTCTGCGGCTAAACGAAAGCGAATAACGGACGGATAGTACTTCGTTTGTGGGTAAAAGAGGGAAAGATAGATCTAAGGGATATTGGAATACTATAATATATTATAACTTAACTATATTTATGCCATTTAAAAGGTAAGACAAATTGTTTAAAACTCTGATTAGTACATCGTAAGCTGATGTAGAAATGATCAATCTTTAACATTATGAAAATCAAATCTCCCTTTATATTTAAGTACGGTATTGAATGATTGAGTTATTATTATTAATAGTCTTTACATCTCTTAATATCTCTTTGATCGCGAGTTTTGTACATCGTTGTTGCAACAGATGGACAATAAACTGAAGTGGTAAGTCTCATTGACTTTAGAAACGAGTACTCAACTAATCAGGGATCGTATTTAAAAAAAAAGATAATACTAAAAGTTAGACGCTTGTCTATTGTAAAGCCGAAATATCTTGCCTGCTTCGGTTGGTCCAGGGTTACCTTAGATAGGGAATATAGGAGACTTATTGGTCGATATGACTCAGGGTCCTCTTCCTACGTATAATTAAGTAATAAAACATATTTTATACTCGTGCGAAGATACAGAAATCATAAGGTCATATAGATACTGACCGAGTACCGGGTTTAAAAGTAGAGCCGCAGCCCTTGTATGCAGGGTTACGCCGCCACCAGGACAATGTCTGATAACACTACTCGACAAAATCGAACTTTTTTTTTCCTCAAGGATCCAAACCGACTTTTTCTGATAGATATGGAGATTTAAAATTTTTTAAAGAATTATGGTTTTTTTTCTATGGCAGAACTTTTTTTTACAACATTTTTGAAGTCTGGTATTTTTGTTTAAGCTTTTTTCAGAGGTAGCGCGTGTTCCCAATTGGCAGTTGGGCCCGCAACCTTCGAAAAGGTATTTTTTGTTCATTTTTTCCATATTTTAGGTTTGGTTAACGAATTTTAGCTACAAAGTCTCTCCATAAATTTTAATGAGCGATACCTGGAACGACGCCAAATTAACGAACCTATACACAAAAAATAGAGGACACAGGATATAATTTTTTTTTCGACTTTTCCTGAGTTTTTTTCACATAACTCTAGTATCTTACGTATGGTTGTAAAGAACTTTGCTATTTTGAAAAGATAATTAAAACAGCTAGAAGTTAAACCCAAACACTTTGTGATTACAGATACTAGATACTAAGATACTAGAGTTATGTGAAAAAAACAAGCGCTACCTCTGAAAAAAGCTTTAAAAAAAATACCAGTTTTCAAAAATTCTTTAAAAAAAAGTTCTGCCATAAAAAAAAAAAAATAATATCAAACCATTTCTAAGCCCCAAATCTTTAAGAAAAAGTTCGTTTTGTTCCTTGAGGAAAAATCGTGTTGACTAGTGTAATTATAAAACCAAATTAAAGAGCCATATCATCGTATTCAATTCAATGCCTCTTATTGAGTGATAACATAGGCAGATTTTCCGTATTCAGCTACTTTTTATTTTCTATGATAATTTAGACTTGGTTTAGTGACAAACCATTGAACTTAGTCCATTTACTAACATTTGATAGTTCAACATAACATAAATTAACACACTCATTTATTCTACAGAATAGACAACTAAAATAAATTTTAAATCACGGGAATTGAGCATTTGAGCGAGACTGGAAGCTCATTAAAATATATTGATACACGGAGTGGACCATAGATTGAACAGAATGCCACTTACGCTTAAAAATACTTAAGCGAAGACGTGAAAGGAGGTTAGGTTCTGCGGCTAAACGAAAGCGAATGAAAGTAGTGGGGCAAAGAAAGAAATAACTGTACAGCTTGGTTACTTGTTGATGCCATCCTTATTATATGTATATGTAACAAGGATTTCGTTGCAGTGGGAAGTGCAATAAGCGAACAATGTGCCACTACCTAAGAATTAATTCTTGATATTGACTGCTTGATCTGGCGTTTTTGCGTCGAATTTTCTAAAAGAAGAGCTCAGAAACTCACCCTTAATAATATTGTAACTAGCCTCTAAAGCAGTAAAAGATGAATCATCCATATGTGTAATATATTGCCAAAAATTCCCCACGGGAAATAACGGACGGATAGTACTTCGTTTGTGGGTAAAAGAGGGAAAGATAGATCTAAGGGATATTGGAATACTATAATATATTATAACTTAACTATATTTATGCCATTTAAAAGGTAAGACAAATTGTTTAAAACTCTGATTAGTACATCGTAAGCTGATGTAGAAATGATCAATCTTTAACATTATGAAAATCAAATCTCCCTTTATATTTAAGTACGGTATTGAATGATTGAGTTATTATTATTAATAGTCTTTACATCTCTTAATATCTCTTTGATCGCGAGTTTTGTACATCGTTGTTGCAACAGATGGACAATAAACTGAAGTGGTAAGTCTCATTGACTTTAGAAACGAGTACTCAACTAATCAGGGATCGTATTTAAAAAAAAAGATAATACTGCTTTTTTTGTGTTTATAATTAGAATTTATTAATTAGTATGGACCCACCTGTAAATACAATATATTAAACAACCACTACTTAACTAAACAACATAGCTAAAAAATTTTAACCTCCGATTAGTTAAAAACAAAATAAAAGAGTACATTCCGATTAATATAAATATTCTTAAGTTTTATGCAGACAAACGAAAATATTTTAGAATCGTTTATATTGGATTAAATCAATACATTGGTAAATGGGAGTCAATCCAATGTAGCATAATTAACAATTGCAAAATGCTTCAAAAATATTGCTCTATTTTTATAAAAGCTTTTAATAATTATTAATATATGAGTATGAGTATGTGTTAATTGAAGAAATCACAATATCTCTTGGAAGAATGCATAATTATGTTAGTGATATATGTATGTATTTGTTGCCAATTAGAATTTAGCTTAACGTATTCGTTGTCTACATGTGTATGTAAATTTAAAATGGTCCCAAAAAGTTTTCCCCAGTTTTTATATCTCATTATATGTGTATTTGCTATTTTTTTAAATTTATTTAGTGCATCTTTTGTTATCTTACAGAGTCGAAAACGTATTTCTTATATTTGGATGTATCCTAACCAGATATAACACTACCGACAAAACCGAACTTTTTTCCTCAAGGATCCAAACCGACTTTTTCGATAGATATGGGGCTAAAATTTTTAAAGAATTATGTAGCAGAACTGAAGAATGAAGTCTGGAAGCCAAGGTAGCCATAACAAACACGTCTGGACAGAACGCTATTTGAAAAGGTAATTAAAACACTAAGTTGCCCAATACGTGATCAGCACCGTCTGGGAAAAAACATGAAATGCAAAAATGATGATTTTGGGGTAAACGAAATTTTGACAGAAAATCGAAAAAAAATATACTTGTGTCCTGTGTAAGGTGCGGGCGCGTAAGACGCCATAAAAGGCACTAAACAACCAAACCAAAATAAAAATGAACAAACCGAACGCGGCCACTCCAATGGGAACAAAGCAAACGAGCAAGGGTTGTACATTTGGTACCTGTCCCCTTGTGGGCCCCCAAGGTGTCACATAAGGTTTGGTAACATTAGCCCAAACCCATAGATTTAATGAGCGATGCCTTAACAAATAATTTTTTGATTCAAAGCAAAATCGTAAAACCCAGCACGCAATTCCCAGCGGTAAGCTGTAATACAAGGGCAACTCTAGCTGTTTAATACCCAAATAGCAAAGTTCTCAACCAAGGAATTAAGTTAGTGAAAACCTCCCTAAAAAAAAAATACAGTAAAACCAAAAAGCTCATAAAAAAAAAAATGTCATCAAACCATTTCTAAGCCCCAAATCTAAGAAAGTTCGTTTTGTTCCTTGAGGAAAAATCGTGTTGACTAGTGTAATCAAAAGTGCATAGCTTCAACTTTCTTAGCAAGAAATTATTAAATCATAAAATATGAACTAACTGTCCCATTTAAGGAAATTAACAACATTTTGTTCATACTTGGAACCCGTTAAAAATAACTCAAAACAAAACAAAAAACCTATGGCTAATACCAATTATAACATTTTCAATAAAAGCTATTTATGTATATTCCATTGCAACTGTGTTGCTATTTGTATGCTATGCTCGTTACAGAAGTCGCATCCGTGCCAAATTAATGACAAAAGAAAAACAAATCTAAGTAAAATAATTTTACTGCATTAAATCTAAGTATCTTCACTAATTTTACTTGTAGAATGTTCGGTTAAAGATGGAAGTAAAGATTCCGTGGATGGTTGCCTGTGAAAAATTATACATTTAAATTTAACATTCTTTTTCCACGCTTAGGAGGACGTACTTATACCTGTCAACTGACATATGGTAGGAACCCGGAGCTGAGTTTGATCGTCCTGCGCGTACAAATCTTTCTAATCGAGAGCCGCCTGGTTGTAGTGCCTTGCCAGATACCCCTTTTATAAATGGATTTCCAAATGAATGTTTTTTTAACATTGTTTTTATTAATATAAGAGTGTCCAACTTTGGAATGCTGCGGACAACGGAGTTTATATCTTCTTCATCAACTTGTACTAGACAGCAGTTTTCTTCTTCAGTGGGCAATGGGTAATCGCCATTAGTGGTAACCCAATCATTTATCTAGAAATATATAAAAAAATGTACTTTCATGATACTACAGAATTCGATTTTTATAAAACCTTTAGCTCTGGCACTGTTATTCTTTGAGTAGCATCTTTTTCCAGCATGTGCAAAATGCAGCGTTTCAAATTTGAGCTAACTGTTAATTTTTGTGGGAACACTACGGGGTCTTTTTGTATTCTTTCATAGAGCAAGGGAACAGAATCTGCTAAAAAAGGCACATTGCCAAAAATTAAGGAATACAGAGTGGCACCCAATGCCCAGACATCTGATGCTCGTCCGCAATACACGTTCTATAACAAAAAAAAACAAGTATTGTACAATATATACAGATTCTAAGAATTATGTTAAAACCGATTGTGTATACCTGGCCTAAGATGAGGGTTTCGGGGGCCCTGAAGGCAGGGGTTCCACCTGTAGATCCATTGCTCATTATAGCATCTTGTCCAAGAAATTCATTGCAGACACCAAGATCAGCTATTTTGATGTGTCCAAACTCCGTTAACAATAAATTTCCAGGCTTTATGTCCGCATGGATAATTTTTTGATAGTGTACTGTAAAGTAAGCGATAAAATCAGAGACCGTAATCAGTAAGCTATATTTAAAAATCATACAATAATAATTCAATTTTAAGTTTTATGGATAACACTACCCGACACGATTTCGCTGCTTCGAACCAGACCAACTTTGAACAATATCTTAAACGACGCCGAATTAATGCACCTATACACAAAAAAACGAGAAGGAACGTGTGAGTCTTCTGGGGACGCGACTCTACTTATAAATTTTTTTTTAATTTTAAAATTAAAAACAAAAAATTTACCTTTTACATTTTTTTGCTACATCTGTTATCTACATCTACATATACTATGTATATTCTACATATAACATGTAGATTATACATTAACCATTTATATTCTACATCTCCTCCGCTAGGGGTTGCTCGCGCACTGAACGCGGCAGAGTGTGCGAGCGAGAAAGAGAATGAGAGACCGGCTCTCTGGCTGAAGTAGGCGGGGAACCAACAGAAAATTAATTTCTTCATTCTGGCTATAATTATAACCCGATCTGATTCAGATTCGACAGTCTGGTAGATATGGGCATTTTCTACGATACTGTGTTTTTAGTTTTATCGTATCTTTAAAAATGTGCCTGCTACAGATTTTCGTCTTTTGTGGGGGCGGAAGGGGGCGGGGCGAAATTTTGAAATACACTTGTAGCAGTGGGATATCACATAAGTCTGGAAACCAAATTTGGTTGCCCTAGCTCTTATAGTCTCTGAGATCTAGGCGCTCAACAAGACAGACAGACGGACAGACGGACAGACAGACATGGCTATATCGACTCGGCTATTGATGCTGATCAAGAATATATATACTTTATGGGGTCGGAGACGTTTCCTTCTCTGGGTTACACACATCCACTTTTACCACAAATCTAATATACCCCTTAACTCTTTTTTGAGTACGGGTGTAATAAAGGACATAGGATCAATTTTGTTTTCGACTTCCAGTTTTTAAAGTGAAAATTTCGTAAAAAAATACCACACAAAAATCCTAATATTTACATTTGAAAGCTTAATATTTCCTAAACTGTAAGCTAAAATCACAAGTTGTTCGGGTTTTATTCATAGATGCATTTCTTAGCTTTTCAGAATTTCAAAGTTCATTACAACCAAACCAATAAGATAATTAAGTTATGTGAAAAAAGGAGTGCTACTTCTGAAAAAGTTTCAAAAAAACCAAACTTCAAAAATTCTTAAAAATAAGTTCTGCTAAAGGAAAAATACAAAGATTCTTAAAAAACAGGTCTGCCGTAAAAAAATTTAAATTTAATTCTTAAAAAAAATGTAAAGCTTTCAATCTATCAGAAACAGTTGGTTTGGTTCGAAAAGTTCAGTTTTGTCGAGTTGTGTAATCATTTTTTTTCAATGAACCAAACCGACATTTCTGATAGATTTGGGGCTTTACAATTGTTAGCTTGAGCTTTTTTCAGAGGTAGCACTTCTTGTTTATTTGAAATTTGATTTTCGGAAGGTTTGTCAATCAATTTTAGAAAAGCCGTTCATCGATTGGTTTTGATGAACAATACCTTAAACGACGGCTTATTAATAAGCACAAAAATATAAGGACACAGGATATCAATTTTAAAATTTTTCTTGCGTTTTTAAAATACTCTAAAAAATGATTTGCATTTGAAAGCTTTATATTTCCCAGACGGTGAGCTGAAACTACAAGGTTATCAGGTCCACTTTATAGCTGCATTTATCAGCTTTTTATAATTACAAGTTTTATGAAAAAAAGAGCGCTATCTCTGAAACATGCCTTTAAAAACACTTTTTTTTTTAATCCTTAAAAATAAATGTTCTTTCCTAAAAAAACCATAATTCCTTTAAAAAAATTAAAGCCTCAAATCTAACAGAAAAAGTCAGGTTTGATTTCTTGAGGGGCATCAATAGTATACATTTTTTTGTGTTGCATAAGAAATTCGTATTTTTATCATCCTTTTCAGTATCAATGCCAAATTACGATGTGTTAATAAGGCGCAGTGAGCAGAAGAATGGTTGTGTCGGTTGTGTGAGCGAGCGAAGCGAGTGCGCAGGGGCTTGCCCTCTAGTATAAAAATAAATAAATAAAAAACATAAATTTAATCTTCAGCTAAACCCACATTTTCTTATTCTTTCTTATCTCATTATGGGAATTTGTAAATTTGTAATTTAGAATTTGTAAACTGTGCATCGAATTGTGCGGCTTGGTGTGGTCAGGTCAAACGTCTAAAAACCGTGCGCTTGGTAAACACGTTTATCCGAATGTACCTTTTCTCAGAGACAAACTTACAATATTCCAATCCGAGTAGTGTTTCTCGAAAAATACTCCATACGCGTTCTTCTGACAATGGATTGTCTGTTGGAATTCTAAGAACTTCGCCTTGTTTTACCAATTCGAAAACCATATATAAGGAGTCCTCAATCGGGTCATCTAATACTTCCACTAGCTTGACAACGTTGGGATGATCAAGCTTCTTTAAAACAGCGATTTCTCTGTAAACACGATCCAGCGGAGAAGTTGTTTTCTTAGGACCTCGACGCATTAGCCCAGCTTGGCGCAAAAGTCGCTTCTTTGAAAGAATTTTCATCGCATAATGGGTTGAATCTTCTTCAGAATAGGCCAATTTTACAAGTCCATATGAGCCCTACATAAAAAATTTTTGTTTAAATTAATAACTGCTCACACGAAAAAATACCCTTGCAGATCGATCGTTTCTATGTTAGCTATAAGATTTGTTTGGGATATGTTTTAGCCGATCTTGGTTACAGCTAAGTACCAGATAGTTTAAAGGGTCTAGTTTACATAGTGACAAGGAGACGTATAGCATACATATGTATGTAGTCTGATCGTTGGGATCTTTCTTTGTAATCATCTTTTCTAAACATTAAATACTGGCTGACAATCATATGCATGTACCTTCTGCACGGGTATACAAGTTGTTAAATAAAACTACATTCATGGCAAGTAATAAAAATGTGATTACCTGTCCAATTTGGTCCATTAATTTGTATTGGTTTAATTGAAGAAAGCTTCCCGATTTTTCTATTGATATTCTCCGTGATTCGCGGAGAGGAGGTCGCCGTCGATTTGACCGAGGACTGCCAAATGGACTGCCATACGGACTATATGGAACATTCGGATAAATAGGTCGAGTTTCAATTGATTGAAGATTCAAAGAAATATGGGGCCGCTGTGCTAAACATGTAACCTCACACGTAGACTTATCGAGTTCTTCGCCGTTCAAATCTAACAAGTGGTCGATACTCTTTGTTAGCTGAGATACAGAGTCTGAAGCTTGCGCTGGTTGGGTTTGATTATCATTGGAGTAGTTTTCACTAATGTTTGGTAACAGGCGAGATTGTGCTAATTGGAAGCTATTTGTCTCATTGTATAATTCCAACGATTGTGATTTCAGAAACATTGGTCGTGAATAAACGCATTTTAATTGTGGATATTCTGATTCAGGCGTTTTTTGGAGACTGTTAATATCACTTTGACGAAGATCACAGCAATCTTTTGATTGAACTACCTCATGCAATCTCATGCTACCTTCTAAGTTCTTGCCCAACTGCGGCCGCCTACTATTAGTTACTGAATTTATATCTTCAGTTGGAAAAGTTGGTATTATTTTATCATCTACAATATTTCGAGTTTTGGGCTTAGTACCACTTGGATCCTGACATTTTCGCTCACTCATGGAATGCCGTTCTGTTGATTCCTTAGATTCAATGTTAATATGTTTTAATTTGTTGTGCGGTATTTTCTCCTTTCCCATTTCTTCGAGTCTTGTGTATTCACAACCATTCTGTGCTTTATCCACAATAACGTAGTCCTCGTCGTCCTCGTAAAAAGGCTGAACTTCAGGTCCACTTTCATTACTCGCCGCCCCGACAAAAGCAAGAACATGTTCCTTCTCTGGTTTCTTAAGATTCCGAGCTGATATTGTTGATTGTTGTACAGCGTCCATTTTTTTAAAACAAAACATCAGAAACTGATGGTCGTTTTTGTGTTAATCTAATACATTATTATTTAAGTCATCACATGGGCTTGGTATTTACTGATTGCATTTCATTTTGGTTGAACCTGGGCAGGAATGATTGTTGAAAAATAAAAGCATTAAAAAATATTCTAGCATAATTTCATAATTAAATTAAAACACACTGTAAGCCCGAAGTACCCTGGCAGGTCGATCGTACCTGTAAATGCCAGATACATACAGTACGATATAGTGACCTGATTTTGTATTATTTTTGTATTATTCATTTTTCCCATTTTCTCAGGAGCGCTTTCAACTGGCTATTGATGACGATCAACAGATAAATACGTATACGCCTTTTTCTGGCTGTTAAATATACCTATGTATGAACATAATTTACGTAGACAGAATAAAATGTAATAAGCAACAGTGCTCCACGAATACCGGTAAAGCAATATTCGACGCAATTGTTCGCTTTTGGACCGTGCACTGTATTTTTATTTTACTCTATAGTTTCAATCACAAAACTCAGAACTTGAATTCCGCTCGTCGATTAAATATGTATTCATTACATACAAATTGTATCCACAAAAGTGTTATATTAATTGAACATGTATGAATTTAGATGTGTAACAGACAAAAAATAAAACCAAATAACAAATAACACTAGTCAACACGATTTTTCCTCAAGGAACAAAACGAACTTTTTCTTAAAGATTTGGGGCTTAGAAATGGTTTGATGATATTTTTTTTTTTCTATGGCAGAACTTTTTTTTGAAGAATTTTTGAAAACTGGTATTTTTTTTTTAAGCGTTTTTCAGAGGTAGCGCTTGTTTTTTTCACATAGCTCTAGTATCTTATGTCTGGTTGTAAAGAACTTTGCTATTTTGAAAAGGTAATTAAAACAGCTAGAAGTTAGGCCCAAACACTTTGTGATTACAGCTTACCGTCTGGGAAATATAAAGCATTGAAATGCAAAAATGATGATTTTTGTGCGGTATTTTTTACGAAATTTTGACTTTAAAAACTCAGGACTCAGGACTTTAAAAACTGCCCATTGGGAACAAAGGAACGCGATCAGGTACCAAATGTACAACCCTTGTTCGTTTGCTTTGTTCCCAATTGGCAGTTGGGCCCGCAACCTTCCAAAAGGTATTTTTTGTTCATTTTTTCCATATTTTAGGTTTGGTTAACGAATTTTAGCTCCAAAGTCTCTACATAAATTTTAATGAGCGATACCTGGAACGACGCCAAATTAACGCACCTATACACAAAAAAATAGAGGACACAAGATATAATTTTTTTTCGACTTTTCCTGAGTTTTTAAAGTCAAAATTTCGTAAAAAATACCGCACAAAAGTCATCATTTTTGCATTTCAATGCTTTATATTTCCCAGACGGTAAGCTGTAATCACAAAGTGTTTGGGCCTAACTTCTAGCTGTTTTAATTACCTTTTCAAAATAGCAAAGTTCTTTACAACCAGACATAAGATACTAGAGCTATGTGAAAAAAACAAGCGCTACCTCTAAAAAAAGCTTAAAAAAAATACCAGACTTCAAAAATTCTTCAAAAAAAAGTTCTGCCATAGAAAAAAAACCATAATTCTTTAAAAAATTTTAAATCCCCATATCTATCAGAAAAAGTCGGTTTGGATCCTTGAGGAAAAAAAAGTTCGATTTTGTCGAGTAGTGTAATTTTTTATTTGGAATGCTGAAATCGCTGGAGAATAGAATGTGTTTACATCTTTTAATTTATTTGTGCTATTTATAACCTTTTTTTGTTTAAATGAGAAAGAATTCCTTATTCGAGTATTCCGGCTATAAAATACCCCCTACTCAACTGACCCGAATTATCCCAACAAGGCGTTCACAGTTAGAGAATTGTATTTTTATTATATATAGCCTTTTTCCCTTCGATCACGACCCTATGTTAAAGTAGATTATTGAATCAAAAGATATGAAGCGGTTCTTTGTTTTGGGTTGATGCTCTGATTTGCATGAACTCAATATACCCTGGCTCTTTACGAAAAGTATAAAAAGCTCATAACATCTGCGATTTATCAATCAGCTCTCTTTTACTTTACTTCTGATTCGCGAACGTTTAGTGTATCTTGCGCATTATATTTACTAAAAAGATTTGTATTATATTTGGTACGATGACTTTGTTTTTTTCAATGGCTATCGTCTATAGCTATTTTTTGTGGTTCGTTCAGTGTCAGAACGTAAATAGCATCCGACACCTGTCAGAAAGCAGCCAAATGCCACAGACTCGTACTATTCGAGGAGAACAAATACCATTGGAGTTTTATGAAGTCATCGAAAGATCGGATAATAGTAAGAACGAGCTGCAACATCGATTGCATCACTTTTTGGAAAATCTTCAAAAGAATCTTACCACGTCCACGGTATTTAGAGACTTTCAAACTACTGCATCGAGATCGGAAAACTATGCCAATAAGATGACTGAATTATCAACATTTTTTCATGATGCTTCCAACTCTGTTGGTAAATTTGCCCAAGAAAGCGAAAAATTCTATGATGTAATTAAGAACTCAAGCTATGCATTGTTGTTGAAATTACGACAAGTCCCCGCAGCACAGCCCACACAGGTAAAGATTGTGCTAACAAACTATTTTTCGGAAATGGAGTTTTTTCATATTATGTTTTCCGAAATTGTGGACGAAGCACTAGAATACACTGTGGGAACTCTGCTCGCTGTTCAACGAATATTCCTTCATTTCGCCGATGTTCAGAGTTTCATACTACACGACTGGAAACTGAAGCTTGACTTTGAGTGCTCCAAAATGTACATGGATTTCTTACAATATCATTCTGCGCAGGTATTTAAATGCGCGGCTGGCCACGAATTGAAAGTCGCTTATGACGTGTACGCTATGACAAAGATAAACTCAAAATATATAATGAGGCAGCTTGAGTTCCGAATTCAAAGACTTTTCAACTGTTTTATCTTCAAAAGTTACGAAATACGATGTCAATTTCTCCAAAACGCCGAGAAGGATTTTGAAAGTCTCTTTAGTAAGCTCGAAGAACTAGAAATGTATCTGGATATAAAAACTAAGCAAGGTCGAGCTTCAGATTTGAGATTCCACCGACAAAGCAATAGACGGTATGATGATGTCACAACAAAATCGACTGAGCTTCTCAGTGATTGCCTACCGAACGACTTTCCCTATAGTCAAATAAAATCGGAATTAAGATCTTGCTTTTATTTATTTGATGGAAAATGAGTAATATATTATATGCCATAATACATACAAGAATTGGGTCTAAGATTCTTTGTTTTTTGTAAGATAGTCACTTAGGTAGCTACTCAGTCTGAATGACATCTTTATTTAACAAGAATTCAGAGATTTTGCTTAAAATCTTTGTAAAATGAGTACGAGGTTTCAAATTTGCATTAAATGTAATACGATTCGCTTTGTTGCACACTTTCAAATGAATAAATATTGTTTCTTTATAAGTATTGACGTTTGAACTTTTATTAGTAACTGAGCAGGGTGCAGTGATACCTCGCCATTACATAAAATAGCTGAAAACATCTGCCCAACGAAATCTAAAGTCTGAAAAAATAGCACTACTCGACTAAATCCAACTTTTTTTTCTCAAGGATTCAAACCGACTTTTTCTGATAGATATGGGACTTTAAATTTTTTTAAAGAATTATGGTTTTTTAAACCCGTACTAAATAAAGAGTTGAGGGGTATATTAGATTTGTGGTAAAAGTGGATGTGTGTAACGCAGAGAAGGAAACGTTTCCAACCCCATAAAGTATATATATTCTTGATCAGCATCAATAGCCGAGTCGATAGAGCCATGTCTGTCTGTCCGTCTGACCGTCTGTCCGTCTTGTTTGTCGGCTGGATCTCAGAGCCTATAAGAGCTAGGACAACCAAATTTGGTTTCCAGACTCAAGTGATATCACACTGCTACAAGTGTATTTCAAAATTTCGCCCCGCCCCCTTCCGCCTCCACAAAGGACGAATATCTGTAGGCACATTTTTAAAGATACGATAAAACTAAAAACACAGTATCGTAGAGAATGCCCATATCTACCAGACTGTCGAATCTGAATCAGATCGGATTATAATTATAGCCAGAATGAAGAAATTTTTTTTTAGGTTGCTTCCCCCGCCTACTTCAGCCAGAGACCCGCTACTCATTTTCTTTCTCGCTCGCACACTCTGCCGCGTTCATTGCGCGAGTAACCCCTAGCGGAGGAGATGTAGAATCTAAATGGTACATGTTTAATTTACATGTTAGATGTAGAATATACATTGTATATGTAGATGTAGATAACAGATGTAGCAAAAAAATTTTTTTTTTTATTTCTAAAATTGTAAAAAAATGTAAGCTCAGAAATGTAAATACTGACTGAGTACGGGTGCGTACTAAGAAGCGACTCACCCGTTCCTTCTCGTTTTTTCTATGGCAGAACTTTTTTTTTAAGAATTTTTTAATTCTGGTATTTTTTAAAACTTTTCTCAGAGGTAGTGCTTCTTTTTTTCACATAACTCTAGTATCTTACATCTGGTTGTAAAGAACTTTGCTATTTTGAAAGGATAATTAAAACAGCTAGAAGTTAAGAAAAAAAAATTATCATCAAACCATTTCTAAGCCCTAAATCTTTAAGAAAAAGTTGATTTTGTTTCTTGAGGAAAACTCGTGTCGAGTAGTGTAGTCGGCCCATCTAAGAAAAAATAAAAAATTTGGAATTTTTCTTTTTTATTTGTTTACATAATCTTTTTTTCAGCTCTATATACTTTTTTCGAAATTTCTCCAATTTTTGTATACCTTCCAAAAAATAGGATTTGTCGAGGTCGTCAAATTAGGCATTTTTTGTGAGATGATTTCATCATTGGACTCAAATCTCTTTCCGCCGAGCCATCTATTCTGGTTTGGAAACAAGAAATAGTCACAATGTGGAAAATATTTTTTTCTTGGCCAAATGCGGTCCTTTATTTTTCAAATCCTCATTAAATCGATCCAATAAGTTGGCATTATATTCGCCATTGGTTGTTTTACCCTTTCTGAAGGTAATAAATGTTGTTAATACCGCGAGAATTCCAAAAACGTTCGCCATGACTTTATTGGCTGAAAACCCCACTTTGGCCTTCTTTTGCCTAGAATCACCCTGAGGAACCTACTGTTTCGACTGCTTTGGTTTCTGGTGTGTTGTGGTGGATCCACTGTTTATTCACGCTTACGAAGCGGCGAAAAAACTCGTTCTTATTGTGGTTAAACAACGCCAAACACTTCTTCGAAGTTGTCACACGAGTGTGTTTGTGATCGATTGCGAGCAAACGCGACAGCCATCATGCGCAAAGAGTTTTCGTACACAAGTGATCTATTAAAATTATAACCACTTAGCCATGTGGTTTCCTATGGATTCCAAAATATCTTGGAAATTCAAATTCGGATCGGCCAACACCATTTCGTGACTTTTTTCAATTTCTTCAGGTGTAGAAAATCAGCTGACAGAAAATACTAATCGAATAAAATATTAATGGGTGGTTAAAAATGTGTTCTTTTTGGGCCGATTACTTATCAGACCGCCCTCGTATGTATTTTCCGCGGCCCTACCGGTACCACCAACTTACCAAATTCCGTGTCATTCACAATTCTGAAGATACAAGACAAGCAAATACTTTGAATCATAAAAACTACTAGTGTGTAGATCTAAATTGGGCCCGGATCAGTATTAAAGTCAGAACAAAGAAAACAATCAAAGACGCGCACGCTCTCTAGTGTGATTGAGAGAGATTTCATGTCCGGTATGTCCAACCACATTGGATTACTGTATTTGGAACACTTTCATATTGATGAATTAAGGCATATAAGGAATCTGAGTTTCGGGTATCTTAATGTCGAGGCACGTGTGGTTTTTATTTTGTGTATATTAGGGCTTGTCAATTTGTATGGGACAAAAAAAACGTGATAAGGGTCCACCAGAATCGGAATGTTGGGCTCAATTCTGATGCATCTTTTTACAACAAATGTTATGGATATTTATACCCGTACTCAAAAAGAGTATATTGTATTTGTGGTAAAAGTGGATGTATGCAACGCAGAGAAGGTAACGTTTCCGACCCCATAAAGTATATATATTATTGATCAGAATCAATAGCCGAGTCGATATAGCCCTGTCCGGACGTCCGTCCGTCTGTCCGTTTCGATGAGCGGCTAGATCTCAGAGACTATAAGAGCTAGAGCAACCAAATTTTGTTTCCAGGCTCATGAGACTTACTGCTACAAGTGTATTTCAAAATTTCGCCCCGTCCCCTTCCGCCTCCACAAAGGAAGACATCTGTGGAAGGCACAGTTTTAAAGATACGATAAAACTAAAAACGCAGTATGGTAGAAAATATCTACCAGATTGCCGAATCTGAATCAGATCGGATCATAAATATAGCCAGAGTGAAGAAATTAATTTTCAGTTGCTTCCCCCACCTCCTTCGGCGCTGATGACCTTCTCGCTCGCGGAGAAGATGTAGAATCTAAATGCTACATGTAAAATCTGCATTGTTAGATGATTGTAGAAGTAGATAACAGATGTAACAAAAAAAAATGTGAAATGTAAAATGTTTTTAAACTCTAGAATCTCTAGAACTGTAAATTCTAAATGGTACATGTATAATCTGCATGTTAGATGTATAATATACATTGTAGATGTAGATAACAGATGTAAAAAAAAAGATGAAATGTAAAATTTTTTTTTAAATTCTAAAAAATAATAAGCCCAAAAATTTTTATACCGACTCAGTACGGGTATAAAAGTAGAGTCGCGTCCCCAGAAGCAACTAACACGTTCCTTCTTGTTTTTTTTTTAATTTTGACGAAAGCAGCCGAACAAGTCATGTATTGTGGCTTATTTGAAGTAAGCACACTTTTCTTCTTTGAAAGCCAAATGCTAAGTGGGTCCACGCCTACTTTTATTTATTGCATAAGAATTGTGCCCAACATGATCGGAAGATGTGTTACTTTTTTTTAATACCTTAAATTTCTTAAAATACTAAAAAATACTGCAGCCTGAAATCTTCTTGCTTCTCAGCGGGAGGAATTGATTTTAGACCAGGGCCCTGGAGCCCTGAAGGGGTCGGCACACAGACATTCTCATGTTTTAGTGCGTTTGTTTTCGGTGACAAAAGACACGAAGGCAAATACGTCACTTATTTCTATGCCGCTGCGGCAGCCGAGCAATTGTGCATAGGGCACACGAATGTTTCTCTGCTGGGCAGAATAACGAAACCACACGAAGTCTTTACGCTGTACGTGTGCCGACTGCGCTGCCCGAAATTTGTTCCTATGCACAGTGCATACGACGCTACCGGCCTCTGTTTTAGATACATAGTTTCTGGTAAAAGATTATTAGAAATCTTCGTAGATTTCGATTCTGGAGGACGCTTCTTGCGAAAAAAAATTGACCCGCCTTCATTTGTAATGTTATAAATATTAATATGAACATTCTTAATCAAATTTAGTTTTAAACGCAGATATGTTTTAAGGTGTTTCTGTTTTTATAATATTTTTAACAAATGAATCCAATACCGAAACTGTACACACCTCGCCATTTGAATAGGACACCCCATTAGGTCAGTTTTCTATCATCGACTTCTTCCAAACCAAGAACGTTAGAACTTAATTTCTTGTTTAAATTAAAGTTTATTTTATTATTGTAATATGATAAAAAAAATATTTAGTTATAAAGCTGTATGTATCTAAAAAATAATAAAAACGTGAAAACGGCGAATTCAGACGTCTTAAATTTGCGCCACTTGAATAAGACATACATATTTACATTTAGTTTGATCGTTATCTTTGCAAAATTAACACTTATACTTCGTTGATCGAACTTTTTGGTTACTTTCGACTTATTTATTTAATAAATACTTAAAATGGGTCGCGGTAAAGCGTTAACCGATGTGTAAAATGGACCAATAAAAGCATAAAGGGTAGCTGGACTATCTATTATTAAAATAGCTAAAAAAAAATCGATAGAAGCCTAATGAGTCAAAATATTAAGGGTGCGGCCTTTTATATTTTTCCCATATTTTGGCTCACAGAGTTCATACAGCAGCGGAGAGGCGACGTACTATATATTAAGAAAATCGTCAAATTCGCACGATTCTTTGGCGAAAATGAAAAAAAACGCCAGTCTAACAATAATTCCATTTAGAAGGCCCTGATGAATAAAGTTATTATTTTCACGATTTTCGAAAAGAAACCCATATTTGGATAGGCTCCATAGCAGAGTTGGAGGTGTGATGGTGTGCCCCCGACAAGATTAAATTTTTGTCAACCAGAATGGCTGGCTTACAGTTGCTTTTTGAAAGCGGCTTTTCCACACTTCCAAAACCATTTTGGAGACCTTTCATTGGCTTATCTAACGTTGATACGTCTATCCATACAGCCCGGATTGTTAAAGCTTTTATTAAGAGCCAAAACGTGCAGCTAT